TGTGGTATCCGTCTGATGCTTGTACTAGTTTAATAGGATATTCTGATGCTAATTATGGTGGATGTAAAATTGATAGGAAAAGTACTAGTGGGACATGTCATTTGTTAGGTTCATCCTTAATATCTTGGCATTCTAAGAAACAGGCATGTGTTGTTTTATCTACCACTGAAGCTGAATATATTGCAGCTAGTAGTTGTTGTGCTCAAATTCTGTGGATGAAACAATAGTTAGAAGATTATAGTATATTTTTAAATGACATATCGTTAATGTGTGATAATACGAGTGCAATTAATCTTACTAAGAATCCAGTGATATTATATATTGTATATAATTAATTATTTTTAACATAGTTTTTTATAAAATGTAATTAATTAGTTATTATTTAAGTTATTTATTAAATTATATATTTTAACTAATTCTTTATATACCGGTGTATGAATGTAAATTAAAAAAAAAAGTTTTGATTATTGATTTTCGTTCAACACAATTGAATTTTTACGAAATAAATTACTTATAAAAATTTGATTCCTAATTCTTCCAATTCACTAAATCAAAATCAATTTCGTTGAGCAAAAATATCAAATTCTAACCAACTAACTTAATTGACATTACAATCAACAAAGAGTAAATCATGTGAAATTATAGAACCCACTTTTACAAAATTGTTGAACCAAGCTCCAAATTATCCTATTGATTTATTTTGGATCTTGCATAGGTCTTGTGTCTTTCTGTGTTTGTTGTTATATATAAAAATTTGAGAAAACAAAAAACATAAATTATATTTAAGTTACTTGAGTTTCTAAATCTATATTAAGTTCTCACAGTAGAGTTTACAATTTCTACTTCTATTATTCTTATACGAGTTCTACATTAAAGTTTATTAATTTGATATGATTTAGATAAGACTTTGTTTCTTTTTTTCTGTCACTTTTATTTACTTTATGCAATTTCCATTTCCTCCATTGTCTTTCTACATTTTATTTGTTTTTCTATATTGTTTTTGTTATTTCACTTTACTACCATGAGTTTATAAGTTTCTAAGGTTTATTTTCCAATTAAATGTTTATTTTCTATGATTTTTTAGATTTGATTCTTTGTGATTCTAACAATTTATAATCTATTATAAACAATTAATTGAGATTGTTCAGTTGAAATTATTCCATTACATCACAAATCATTTTCTAAGTTTATATGACTCTCTTAGAAATTGAAATATGTTTTTAGGTCAATTAAATGCTATGAATCAATTTGATATAATTAATTAAATTATAAATATTTAGAATGTGATTACATCTAGGCTCGGAAAATACTAATTATCCTAGTACATTATTACACTGATAAAACATTGCTACTATCTTTTCTGTTTTGGATAAATTTAGATTTTATTTCTTATGTTCTCAAGTTATGGATAAATTTAGATTTTATTTCTTATGTTCTCAAGTTAATGTTTGTACTGGTTACGTTGTTCTTAAATATTTATTAAAAAAGTCAAATTTTAAACCTAAATTAATTAGTGGATATTTTTATTATAAGAATTTAATTATTAAAGATAGATATGATACCAAAAAATTTGTTGTTGAACAATTGAGTAGAATTGAAAATAATTTAGATGATTTTTCTATATGTGATGTATTTTCTTATGAACATCTTTATAATATTAATTCTAATATAGATTTTATGCATTGGTAGGTAGATATTATTAATTATATTGTTGCATTTATTTATCTTTCACATGTAAGACACAAAAAGATAAATTAACAATGATTCCAAAAATTTTATTTTGGATGATTTGTATTTATGGAAGTTTTTTAATGATAAAGTTATTAGAAGATGTATTCCAATTTTGCTTTAAAGTTTTGTCATTGTTCTCTTATTTGAGGGCATTTGGGTCCAAAAAACTGAAAAATTGATATAGATTTTTATTGGTCAACTATATTTAAAGGTTCATGTTAATGTTGTAAATATTGTGAAGAATGCCTGAAAGTAGGTGGTAATATATCATGAAGACATTAAATGCCAATAATTTATATTTATGAAATATTTGATGTATAAGGTATTAATTGAGTCCATTTCTTCCATCTTTTGGATTTAATTATATTTTGTTGATTATGTATCTTAATTATATTTTGTTGATTATGTATCTAAATGGATAGAAGTCATAGTCAATAAAGATTAATAATTTTAAAATTGTTATAAATTTTATTAAAACTAACATATTTTACAAGTTTGGAATTTTGAGAACAATAATAAGGTATCTTTAACTAGAGCAATATAAATAAGTTATTTCTTATCTTGAAAAATGTAAAATATAGATTTTTTGTATAACATCATTTTTATGCAACTCATCTTTAATTTTACTCTTATAGAATATTTTTTAATAAAATTTAAAAAACTCATTCTCTCCTATTCTCTCTCTTCAGTTAATGTGTTTTGTTTATTTTTATAAATTGCTTAATGAAATAACTATAAAAAAATTTAAACAATTAGCATGTCATATTCATATAAGATTCCTTCAATTAAAAGTTACTAGAAACAACAAATGTTTTATTTAAATATCTCACCAAACAATTCCCATTAAAGATGTTTTTAGTAATCAAGGAATTTTGTAATAGATCATTTGCTTCTTTATTTAAAAAAGTATGGAGTTATACATAAAATATCTACATCTTATTAAAATAAAAAATTAAGTTTAAGAGGGATGAATTGAATTTTCTCATATTAAAAAAAAACTTAGAATAAAACATTATTAATCCAAACAATTTTAGGATTTTATAAGAGTTATTTCAGAACCAAGAATATTTAAAAGTATAATGCACAAATATAACAATAAAAAGAGAGGGAAAAATATTTACACAAAAAATTTAATACTGGTTGATTTTATCAAGAGTTAGTGAAGCTCACATTAAAACAATGTTTTTTACAAACATGCAACCAAATACAATTTGCACAAGAAATCAATTCTTGAATCCCACAATATTAGATTTCTAACCTAGTAATAGTGACGAAGGGAAGGGGAGCTCATAGGGATTACAGTCCAAAAAAAAACTCCTTTTAAATTTTATTTAAAAAAAAAAAAAATATATATATATATATATATATATATATATATATATATATATATATATATATATATATATATATATATATATATATATATATATATATATATAGTATGACCCTTCTTAAAATTAATTTTCTGGTTCCGCCTGTGTCTAGTAACACTTACTACGCTAAATTTAGAAAACCTTGTACAAAAACAATCACATAAAAGTAAAATAATAAATATTTCTAATAAGTTAACTTAGATGTGCATATTTATCAATTTTTATTTTTTAAGATTAAGAATTGGGTTGGTTCAAAAATTATAAATCTAATTATAATGAAATATAATTAAAAATAAAGAACTCACACATATTTTTTACATAATAAAAGGAGAAATTATTTATATTAAATATCCAAAAAATTAATGTTAATATTTTTAGTAATAATTATTTTCATAATATTTTATGATAAAATAAATATATAATAAATATATTAATTTAAATTAACTTTCAAATTATCTGAGTAAGGTAAATATTTTAAAGTATAAATAATATATTTAATTAATTATGAATGGACTTGTAAATGGTACCATATAATCAACTCTTGAATTTGAATACTCATCATATAAATCACATTTTTTTCTTTGATAATTTTTTTTTCTTAATAAATATTGACAACTTTACTTTTTATTTTTATTATTTTATTTTTTGTTATTTAACCGTAACTCGTGACATATATATATATATATATATATATATATATATATATATATATATATATATAATTGAATAAACTTTCTTAGTTAAACGTAATTTTCTGATCTAATCTAATTTTTTTTCTGTAATTTAATTTGTCAATATGAAAATTTTTGAGATGATAAAAAAAATATGTACGAATTCAATTGTCTTATGTTTTTTCTTATTAATAAATATATTCAAATCTAATTGATATATTTTCCTTCATTAATTGATTTTTTAATCGAAAATGTTTTAATAATTTTAGATATTAAAAAAAGATATTCTCTTAAAAATATAAGATATAGAGTAAATTTTATAAATATTATACTATTTTTAACTGCATTTCAAAAATAGTACATTTGTTTGACTCCATCATTAAATAATATAATCCGACTCATATTCTAGTATATTTTAAGAAAACATATTAAGTTGTTTTCTATTTATATTAATGAGATATAATAATTTTAAATTAATATAAAATTATATATATATATATATATATATATATAATATTTTAGGTTATAAAACTTTTCATTAATATTATTTGTCTAATTTTCCGTTGTTAATTATATTAAAGTAGGAATGTGAATGATTGGAATCATTCTAAAACTTTTACTTACTAGATAAAGAAATCATTAAATATCTTAAAAACTTTTAAGACATTAAATATATTTTAATTTTTTATAAATAAAATACTAAAAAGATCACATCGGGATTCTGAAATAATAGTTTAGATTTTAGAAATTAATTCGGGATAATTTCCATAAAAATTAAAAAGATAATGAAAGATAAAAAGGGAAATTAAAATCTCAAATATATAATCGCATATTCATACCATTTAAGCGTCATATTGCACTCATGCTATGTATATATAAAGTGAGGGAAACCAGAGAAGCTTAACAGTGATATAATTCAGGGTTTTGCCAGCAGGAAAACTGTTATGCACCAAACAGAAAAGGAAAGTCAAAGATGTATGTATGCTTACATTTGAAGTAAACAGTAACTTTTTTTTTCTTTAATCATGAATTATTGATGAAGTAATGTTATTTATGTTATGTATGTAGTTAAAAACTTAGGTTCATTGGATCCTTCGTTTTTGCATCTTCTTCCCAACACTGTGACAATAAGGACTTGATGACTTTGTGTTGTTAATTTTGACGTATATTTTTGTTCCAATCTAACTTATATACTAAATGTTGACAGTTGTTATTGTACCAGAAAATGGGTCGTGGAAGGATACCCATGAATCTCATTGAGAAAGAAAAGACTCGGAAAACAACATTTCAAAAGCGAAAAACCGGATTAATCAAGAAAGTTTATGAGTTTTCCACCCTTTGTTCAGTTGATGTTGGTGTAATTATCTTTGCCTCCAAGTATCTTGATGAACCTGAAACATGGCCACAAGATCCAAGAGAGGTTAACCGAATTATTCAAAAATATCTGAACACCACCAGTGATAGGCGTCCAAAGGTGTATGATGTGGAAGAGTATTTCAGTGAAAAAATGAAAAGGATTGAAGGTGAGATTTCCAAAGTGCAGAAAGAGAAGATCCAACTCATGTACCCAACCTGGGATGACTCTTACAACGTTCTTGAAGAGGAACAACTGAGGATGTTTCTTAGTATTTTGGACGCTAAGCTTAATGCTTGTAACCAAAGGATGAATATGTTGAAGCGAGAGTCAAAGGGAAAAACAATATCAGACAAAGATGATCTACTTGTTCCCTCAGTAGCCCCAAATAGTCATCACAATTTTATGCAGAATGTGTCTCAAACACAAATTTTCCCTCTTAATGATAAGAGTCAAGTTCCATTTTATCCATGTCATCCAAGCCAAAGTTCTCTTTCTTCTTTGTTTCATTTTGGTCAAAATTGTACGCAATTGATGGAAAAGAATACAATGGTGGATTGGGGTCATCAGGTTGGGGCTGCTACAAGTGATCACAAACTGGTTATACAACAGGAGGATCGATCCGACAAAAACCAAAACTCCTCACATTGTTATTACAATGGAAATATGCAAACAACGCAGTCATATAACAATGTTTCTTTTCAGTACGATGCAGTTTTCCAGAACTTATCAAATCAAGCAGGATCATCACAAGGATTTGAACCTAATGGTTTTCATGATTCAACTATGTTTCAACCTTATTTTTTCAACTCTCTTCATAGAAGAAAATAGGTTCCATTACTCGTATATATTTTCTTCAACAGTATTGTCAGTTCGGATTTTAATTTTCTTTGTTTTTTGAGCATTGTTTGGTTGAAAGAGTTGCCAATAATTTTGTATCAGTCTTTTGATTTCTTCATTACCCTACTGTTACTGCAATGATTCTTAAAATAAAATTGTGTGAAATAAATACATGAAATAATGTCTGAAAATATGTTTAAAATATGATTAATCTATAAATACATGAAATAATTTGTCTGAAAAAAATTATTATAATTTATATATTTAAAAAATAATAAAAATATGATAAATGAAAAAAGTTAAAATAATATTTTAAAAAGTTAATTATATGAAAAATATGAACATATAAAGGTATTCAGTAGTAGTAATGAAGGTAAAAAAAGTCAAGATATTTTTTTTAAATTATAATAACACGGAATTTCAGTAGACATTTTAAATCAGAGAATTTGAAAAGAGTTTTAAAACTGCATGAATTTAGCGGTAGTTTTAATTAAAGGGATTTTATAACTACGAAAAAATTTATTGATTTTGACATTGTTCAAAACTATTTGTAATACTATATATTTAAGAATAAATTTAAAATGTGAGTAATGTATTTAAAAGTAATTAAAAATAATAAAACAAAAAAATAACACCTTAAAAATAATTTTTCTTGTATTAATTCGGAAGATAATTTTTAAAAAATAAAAAATATTTTAAATATTTATAAAATATATAATTTATTTACATTAATATTTTAATTTAATTATAATTACAAAATATTAATAAATTATATTATTATACATAAAATATGATAAGAATGAACTCTATTAAAAAGAAAATGTTAGCATATTAAATTGAAAATGTAAAATTTTATTTTAATGATAAAACTTTTAGTAATATGTCTAATTTTTAAATTCGTAATTATTCACGATTGCGTATTTATTACGCATTTAATACATTATTTAGTTGTAATATATTATTTTAAATAATACTGAAACTGTTATAACAGATCAAGATAAATTTGATGGACTCTTGATAATACATTAAAATTTGTTAATAATATTCCTACCATATTATTATTTTTGGAATATAACACTATCTGAATAAAATAATATCCAAATTCATTATATTAAATATTTTTTTTAGTTTTTCTAATATTATTACATTTAAGGTTTTTAATTTTTTAGATTTTTTTTCATATTATAAAATTTGTTTAATCTTAGTTTAAGAAATATATACTAATAGTAAATTTGAGAAATCATTCTAAATTTTCAAGAGAATAAACATACGAGAAGATAAAAATAATAGAATAGTAATTATATATAATTTATCTACACCAATTAAATAAGATAGAGAAAATAGTATCTAAAATTAGTAATTAGATATAATTCATATAAACATTAATCTCATAAATTCAATTATTTGATAAATATATACATAAAAATATAATTATTTACAAATATGTTTTTAAAATAATATTATTTATAATTTAAAATAGATTATTATAAAAATTGTATAATTAATATATATATATATATATATATATATATATATATATATATATATATATATATTAATCAATCATAACTTTTACTTTTAAGATTAAAAGATTTTATACTGATAAACTTTTTTATCCAAATACTTATTTGAAAAATATATATATAAAAAGATTATGTGATATATTTATATATATATATATATATATATATATATATATATATATATATATATTTATTATGTGATAGAGTATAATTAAATAAATTTGGTAACAGATCGCTGTTGAACTTCCATTGAAAATTTATAAGATAAGTTTAGTAATTTTGATTTTTCATTTTCTTAATTTATAAAATTGTTATTGTAAGAGTAATTGATATTGATATTTGAAATAAAATAAAGTCATTAAATATAATATTAATATTAATTATCTGACTAAAGTTTGAAATATTTATTAACTATATTTAATTATATGCTAATTTTAAATTAATTAATACTAACTTCATAATTGTTTATAATTAGCATAGTAATTAATAATTTTAATTAACTAAAAATGTCAAAACACTATTAAATTAAACAATTTTACTTTAATTAGTTATTTTAAGGTTTATCATTGTGTATAGAATTATTTTTAAAAAACATACAAATTTGATTATTTAAGAATAATTAATTTTTACTTTCATGATTTATTTTCATATAATTATATTTAAATTTAATTTGATAATAAATTTATGAAGGGGTATTTCTAACAAATAATAACTGTGTCCATCACATGCTTATTATATCCACGTAGATTTAAAATTTCACACCACAATTATATGTTATTTCTTAAATAACCCATACTCCAATTCATGATGAAAATAAAATTTAAAAACGTACATGAATTTGTCCTTGAAAATTATGTGATGATGAGATTAACATTAGGTATGTGATCTTCTAACTGTGGAGAAGGTCTTACGTATTGTTTTTTGTTTTGTCTCCCAATGGGATGAAGAGAAAAGATAGAATAGAATACGTACTGCATTATGTGTACGAGGAACATAACATGTTCTCTCTAAAAAGAGAATGATAATTATTATCATAAAAGAAAATGCAACTCTAAAAATATAAGACAATGATTCTTGCGTTGTGACGCTAAAATCTGACTAAGACTTATGCAAAAAATTTTGAGATTGTTACCGTCGAGGAGTGTTCGCCTCTTGACTAAGTTTACATGAAACCTTTGATAGATTTGGAGGATTTTACCTATGTTTATGAATGTCTATTTAAATATTTAGATATATTCATTCCTTTTTTTAATTTTGAATGTGATATGCTATCAATTTTATGCATAACTCCTAGCTAGTTATATCCGAACAGTGTGGCTTTCTCATAAGCCTTTCAAATTCTTTGGGACCTTCTTAACATTGTCCCACTATAAAGAAACTTATGTATTTCTACAAGCTAAAGCATGGTCACGAGATCAATTGGGTCTCTTTAAATGGTTCCCAACACAATGGTCTATTTACACTCTTCTCCTCATCCTTTAAACATTTAAAATCCTGCTTCTTTAAAATAAAATGTGCTCGGGAGGACACAACTCGCCATTTGTTCCTTAATCTCGACCATTATCCTCATTTTTCGCTATACTGGCGAGTTCTCCACAAATTTAAATCTCGAACCCAGTGATGGATCTTGACCATTGATCTTAAAGGGGCCAAATAATATATTATTAATAAATAATAAATAAATATAAAATAAAGTAAGAAGATGAAAATGTGAAATGATAAAATTGTAAATATATACTTAAATATATTAAATTATTATTAAGTTTGAGAGGAACAATATCATATAATTTAGAGTTACAAAACTGAGAAGGGACTTGGAGAATAAAATTGTAAATATACAAGTAAAGATATTAAATGATCATTAAGTTTATGGGAACAAAATCAAGGGGCCAAAACCCTTGATAGAGTTGCCGAGTTAATAACCAGCAATTCTGTATTGAAATTTCTCTTTTAGCTCAGTTTTTGTTTCAATTTGGTTTCCTATTAGTTTTTAAGAGAGTCTGATTTTTCTACTTTTGTTATTCATTCTTATCTCCTAACACAGGTGACTTCTGTTATGGAAAATTCAAAAGGAGAATAAAAAACAATAGTTTTAGACTGAGAAAAGCATTAAGTACCTGAGATTTTGAAGCAACTTGCTGCACAGTCTTTTTGGAACCCTTGGCCACAGTCTGCTGGCTACTCAAGTCAGCAAGAATGCTATCCAAAGACCAAAGCAGAAAGGAACTAAGTGCCTCAGGGGATCGTTGGTTAATCCAGTCAATTGATGTTTTATATACAGCATCAGATATGTGAGAAAGTGGCATCTGGAAAAAAGGAGAATCACCAATAAACTTTCCAGGAAAAGACCAGAAAATAAAACCAAGATTCTGATAAACACTAAAAGATAGAATATGAAAGCTCCAAAATGACTGAATATAAAAAATTCCTCAAACATCAATATACCATGAAAGGACGAGAACAAGATCCAGTACTATGATTTTGTAACTGATGAATGAATGCTTTCTACTATTATGATTCTCAAGGTCTCACCAAAAAAAAGACAGTACTATTTATCATGACAGAAAAAGCCAACAGATTTGGCAAAATTCTTCCTTAGCAAAATTACCAATATTAAAATAGTAACTATACAATAAACGGTACAATATAAAACAATATTACAACAGATTTAGTGTCTTATTAGGTTTACAGTTGAAAGTGGGCAAACGTCCATTGAATGCGAATGATATATGAAATGTTTGGTTCCTAATTTAGTGCTTTGGAAAAAGTGAATTCCCGTTTGCATTGATCTATATGGGTTTTGAAACTCACCCTTAGCAGGAGAGCTCGATTAAGCTTCACTACACCAAAGACACACCTACCATGTTTGCTTTGCATAATATCAATACCACCTAGGTACTCAACACAGACTAGAATAATTTAACGCAAATAAGAAATCGATTTGCTGCTGTGATCGACTTGCTGCCGTGAATTTTTGAACAATATCTTCTATAAGCTATTAATTAGAGAATATTACTTTAAAACAGGCTGACTCCAGTTTATTTCACCATTTTACTCTGAAAATTTTACTACGTTGAAACGAAAGCAACGTCCCGTTAACATTAGATGTAATTGCTTCAGTCGTTTCTTGTTCAGCAGTATAGTTCTGCGCCGACCAATAAATTTCAATTTTTTTTTCTATTGGAGAGATCCATATAACCTGAGAGGAACAAAATGAAATTCTTTATCTATTATTTCCATTGAAGAAAATAATAAGAAAACAAGGAACTGAGGACTCACATCAGTGACCTTAGCCACAGTTGACTCCTTAAACAATTTCACCCAGGGAAACTGAGATGCGGTCACGGCAGAAAAAGCACGTCCAAAATAATCAGCGAACCGCATCATCAATATGTCCTGTTGTTTTCTCGAACGATGCCTAATGTGGAAACAAACAAGCGAACAAAGAGATAAAAATTCAAATCAAACCAAACGAATAGAAACGCATCGTCTTCCTGATCCAACAGATCAAACCAAAACACAAAACCTAAACATGCGCAATTCAATTGACAATGCCCTACCGATATATCAACGAGGAAAGCGCCCAGATCAGCGGCGTCGATCTTTGCCGCCCCCTCTGCCAACGTCACCTTAGGCTTCTTCGGCCTCTTCTGCTTTACCTTCTTCTCTTCCACCTTCCCATTCTCAGCTGAATGCTCCACATTCTCCTCCTCCTCGTCATCGTCGTTGCGAGGCCGCTGCTTCGATCTGACCGGCGCGTCATCATCATCGTATGCGGCATCGGCCGCCTTCCGCGCCTCCAGAATTTTCCGGCGGCGGTCCTCCGATTGCAGCTCCAGCGACCGGAAAACGCCATCGGAGCTGGACAAGGTTCCGTTTGGAACGAGTTTGTTGGAATTGGCTCGAGTATCGGATCCATTGGCGCTATTGTTGGTCTTCTTCCTCTGTTTCTTAGCGTAGGTCACCTTTTGCCAGCCGTGGTCGGCCCCGTGAGAGACACCGTTGGATTCGGTATGCGCGGATTCCAAGGCTGCTGCGTGCTTTTCCTCCATTCTCGTGGTTGGGAACCGTGATTTTCTGTGTGTCTGATAGTAATTCGGGCCCCACTTTAGGTCCAAATGAAGTTAATGGGTAACTGATCCAATGACATCAACAAGAATTCGTAGGGTGTCAAAATTCTTAGCTGATTATAACTGTGACGACAAATTCAGTTCGGGTCATAAGTGCAAGGCCCGTTTCTTCTTGTTAGTTGCAGTGGATGATGCGCCTGATGATGTCAGGATGAAGTCACCATGTTTAGAAACGGTTCCCAGCATGCCTCCTCTGGAAGATGTAGATCTGGGCCAGACTGAAGTTCAAATAAGTTTCAATGCCTTGGCAGGGTTACCAGCTCCTGAAGCTCTTCGCATCTTGGGTCACATCTCTAACCAGCCCACTACTATTCTGGTTGATGGGGGGAGCACTCATAACTTCATTCAAGACCGTGTAGCCCGCTTCTTGAATTTAGATGCTAAACCCACTAACACACTACGTGTAATGATTGGAAACGGTAGTGAAATTGAATGCCATAGTATTTGTCCAGGGGTGGAATTAAAAATTCAAGGACATAAGTTCATGGTGGACCTCCATGTGCTCCCTATCAGCGGTGCCGACGTCGTCCTTGGCATCCAAGTGGCTCAAAGATTTGGGCCCCATTGTTATCGATTACTCCCAACTCACTATGAAGTTCGTCAAGGACGGGCAATTCGTCGAGTTTAAGGCCGATGCCCCTCTTAAACCCAGGTAACATTTCAGCCCAACAGGTTAAACGTATCCTTCAAACTCATGGTGCAGCTGGGTTTTTCCACATTCGTATACTCCCCACTACCCCTCACCCACCTTCACCTAACACACAAGCCGTCCCTACCAATCCTCTTCCCCAAATTTCAACTCTCCTACACAAATATTCTCGGCTTTTCCGAAGCCTACATCCTTACCACCCTCACGCAATAGGGACCATCAAATTCACCTCCTTCCCAATTCTTCTCCAGTATCGGTGAGGCCATACGAGATACCCCCATTTCCAAAAGGCGAAATTGAGAGGCAAATTGAAGAGATGTTGTCCGATGGCATGATCCAACCAAGTCAGAGCCCTTTCTCCTCCCCGGTTTTACTTGTAAAGAAAAAGGACGGTAGTTGGAGATTTTGCGTTGACTATCGTGCCCTTAATGCTATCACCATCAAGGACAAGTTTCCCATTCCCACGATCGATGAGCTGTTGGACGAGTTGGGAGGAGCTTCATGGTTTTCCAAACTGGATTTGCGACAGGGATATCATCAAATTCGCATGTCTCCTACTGACATTCCTAAAACTGCCTTTCGTACACACCATGGGCATTACGAGTATACAGTGATGCCGTTTGGCCTTTGCAACGCCCCTTCCACATTCCAGGCAACCATGAATGAATTGCTGAAACCATTTATGCGAAAATTTCTAATTGTTTTTTTTTATGACATACTGGTTTATAGCAGGTCTTTGGAAGATCATATTCAACACTTAGAACTGACTTTCCAACAACTGATACTGGGCGAGTTCTTTTTGCGTGGATCTAAGTGTATGTTTGCGACGCAACAGGTTGAATATCTGGGGCACGTGGTTTCTGTTGATGGTGTTGCACCAGACCAATCAAAAATTCAGGCAATGCTGGATTGGCCACCTCCTACCACGATTAAGGCGTTACGTGGCTTCCTGGGATTAACAGGGTTTTATAGACGATTCATAAAGGGGTATGCCTCCCTAGCTTCTCCCTTGACCGCACTTTTGAAGAAGGACGCATTCATGTGGAACAGTGAAGCTCAAATCGCTTTGATACTTTAAAAAAAGCCATGACTGAGGCACCAGTCCTAGCCTTACCCAATTTTGACTTGCCTTTTGTTTTGGAGACAGACGCCACGGCTTAGCCATGGGCGCTGTTTTGATGCAGGAAGGTCATCCGATTGCGTTCCACAGCAAACCTTTTTGTCCAAAGCTCATGCGATCTTCTACCTATGTCAGGGAGCTTCATGCCATTACAGCTGCAGTTAAGAAGTGGCGCCAATATCTACTTGGACACTTCTTTACAATCCTTACGGATCATCGTAGCCTCAAGGAGTTAATGTCGCAGGTTATCCAAACTCCAGAACAACAAGTTTATTTGTCAAAGTTGTTGGGATTCGACTATTCCATCCAGTACAAAACAGGGAGAACAAATGTAGTGGCCGATGCTCTCTCCCGGCCTTTTGATTTCGGTGACAGCCAACTCTTAGTTTTATCTATGCCTTGTTTCTTGAAGAACTTCGCAAGGCTTTACTCACAAGTGTTGAATTTGTTCAACTGCTCAAGGCTGTTTAGGATGACCAGGATAGTCATAAACACTTCAGTATTCACCAAGGCCTTTTGTTGTACAAGGGCAAAATCTGGTTGAACCACGACAACCCACTTATTCCTGTTTTGTTGGAAGAGTTTCACAAGACTCCACTGAGTGGGCACACAGGGGCTGCTAAAACTTTGTCAAGGCTTCAATATAATTTCTATTGGAAGGGCATGCGTGAGGACGTTCAGAAATTCGTTGCTCATTGCACAACTTGCTTACAAACCAAATATGAGACTAAGCGGCCAGCAGGCTTACTCCAACCCCTCTCCATTCCAGTGGAACCATGGGTTGACTTATCTCTGGATTTTATTACGGGCTTGCCACCCTTCCAAGGATACACAATTATTTTGGTGGTGGTTGATCGCTTCTCAAAGGGTGCACATTTTGGAATGTTACCTGCACACTTCACATCCTTTAAGGTTGCACAACTTTTCCTAGATATGGTTTGTAAGCATCATGGATTTCCTCGCAGCTTGGTTTCGGATCGTGATCCTATCTTCATAAGCAAATTTTGGAGAGAACTATTCCGATTGAGTGGCACCAAGTTGCGTATGAGCACCTCCTTCCACCCTGAAACGGATGGCCAGACAGAGGTTCTAAACAGGGTCTTAGAACAATATCTGCGTTCCATGGTTCACAACAAACCACCCAATTGGGGTAAGTACTTGGGCCTGGCAGAATGGTGCTACAATACTACTAATCATTCAGCTACTGGGATGTCTCCTTTTCAGGTCACGTATGGCAAGGAACCTCCTTCGATCCCTCAATATTTAGCAGGTTCCTCGTCAGTAGAGGCAGTTGATTCTCTGCTAACAACTCGCCAAGACATGCTGAATGCCCTGTGAAAGAAACTTCAAAAGGTTCAGCACCAGATGAAACTAGTAGCTGATGGCAAGCGTAGGAAGGTGGACTATCAGGTAGATGATTGGGTCTATGTGCGGTTGCGACCCTACCGCCAAAATTCTGTCCGAGGTTCAGCTTATGAGAAGCTGGGCAAGCGTTTTTACGGTCCCTTTCGCATACTTGAGCGAGTTGGACCTGTTGCTTACAAGCTAGAGCTGCCTTCAAATTCCAAAATTCATCCGGTTTTTCACTATTCAGTGCTTAAGGGTCATGTCGGCCCTCTCCCTGTTCATCATGCTGAGTTACCTACTGAAAACCATGGCAACAGCCCAACCATTACCCCTATGGCTATACTTGATTCTAAGATAGACACGTCCACAACTCCTCCTGAGAAATTGGTATTGGTGCAGTGGCAAGGTTTGGCACCAGAAGACACAACTTGGGAAGATTGGAATGAGTTGCAGCTGAATTATCACCTTGAGGACAAGGTGTCTTTTCCAGGGGACAATAATGATAGTAATTCGGGCCCCACTTTAGGCCCAAATGAAGTTAATGGAGTAACTGATCCAATGACATCAACAAGAATTCGTAGGGTGCCAAAATACTTAGCTGATTACAAACTATGAGTAGTGGGGGTATGGGTAAGGGAACATTTATGTATGACGTGTCAGTATTTGAGTGGTTCTGTTATGAGTTTGTTATCACCCTTTCTGTTATATAGTTGCTGGAATAAATGAATGAGGCAGAGAAGAATATTTCTATCATTTCTTTATCCTTTTTCTGTAGGAGGCCCCTTGACCTCGAATCAAGGCAATTTTCCCTTATCATTTTGGTGCTTTCGTTGAGAGTAATGACAGACCATAACACCCGTTCCAAATCCATCACCAATTTGGAAGAAGCTATTCTCAAACTCACCATTAACCAGAATGACATCACTACCCATTTGGATGCCATTGCTTCTCAGCTGGCTAGCCACGACACAACTTCTCCCCGTACGGATGCGCGTCGCTCCGATGCTCCTTCATTCCCACCTCACCTCCGTTTGGATGTTCCTCGGTTTCATGGAACCGACCCCATGGGTTGGATCTTCAAAATCTCCCAATTTTTCGAGTACCATCACACACCGGAGGTGGATCGGCTTACGATTGCGTCCTTTTGCATGGAGGGCCCAGCTCTCAGTTGGTTCCAATGGTTACATCAGAACAACATGATACCTTCCTGGCAAGAATTTCTTCACGCTCTCGAGATTCGTTTTGCCCCTTCTTATTATGAGGATCCTCGTGGTTCTCTTTTTAAATTGACCCAAAAGGGTTCTGTACAAGATTATTTGCATGAGTTTGAACGCCTCGCCAACCGCATTGTTGACCTCCCTGCACCCTTCTTGTTGAGTAACTTTATTTCTGGGTTAACCACGGATATCCGTCGAGAGGTCCAGGCGTTGCAACTGCAGACCTTAACACAGGCCGCAGCGTTGGCTAAACTACAGGAGGACAAACTGGCTGACCAGCGCCGTTCTGTCCGTCCTCGTCCACCACCCTCCCTACCTTATGGATCGCCGCTGCTCCCAACACCGTCGCGCCCACCAGCACCGATTTCCACCCCATCTAAACCACATTACAAAAAGTTGACTCATGAGGAGATGATGGCTTGTCGTGAGAAAGGGTTGTGCTACAACTGTGACGACAAATTCAGTCCGGGTCATAAGTGCAAGGCCCGTTTCTTCTTGTTAGTTGCAGTGGATGATGCGCCTGATGATGTCAGGATGGAGTCACCATGTTTAGAAATGGTTCCCAGCATGCCTCCTCTGGAAGATGTAG